CCCGAGCCCCAAGGGGGGCGGGAGTGACCGGAGCTCGGGTCCTCTGGGCCATCACAGGCGGGAGCGGCGGACAGCCCCCCTCATCCCGCGGGAGAGACTCCCCAGATCCGCAGAGAGAACCCCAAACCCGGCGGAAGAGACCCCAACCCCGAAAGACAGAGCCCCATCGCCCCGCGTGAGAGCCCCGAGACCCGCGGCCCAGGTCACCGCTGTGGAGAGCGCCAACCCCCACTACTCCCCCCGGGGTCCTAGCCCCAGAGCAGGCCTGACGACCCCCCACAACGTCCCGTGCCTGGGGGCTCCCTGCAGCTTCTCTTCCCAGCCCCCACCGCTGCAAGAGCCGGCTGAACTCCGCGGCCCTGGAGACCCCAGAGGGTAACCGGCAGGGACGATCCATCAGTCCGAGCCAGCCCCAGCTGGGAGGTCCTGGGGCACCCGGGGAATGGCGGGCAGCACCTGGCCCTGCGCCCTGGCTGGCTTGTGCTGGGGCTGGAGCGAAGGCTCTGGCCTCGAGAGCCGTCGATGGTGGGGAGGACAGGCGTTCCCGGCTCCCTGTGCCCAGCGACCTGTTTTGCTAAAAGGGGAATGTGGGTCTCATGGGCTGCTTGGCCATCCCAGTGTGGGAGCTGCGGGACCGTCCTACATCCACAGGCACCAGCTCAGAAGCTCAGCCTCAGCGCCTCCCCTGGCTCCCTGGTCCAGTTGCAAGAGGGAGCTTTGAGCAGGTCCAGCCATTGGGCAACTGGTTGGGTCCAGAGGGAGATCAGCCCAGACTTCCAGAGGCCGCCAAGGGTTGGGCGGTGGGCAGAGCAGCAGCAAGAGGCTGTCCCTGTGCCCAAGGCAAAGAAATCCCACAGGAACAAGGCCCTCCTTGGCTCCTCCATGAACCCTTCCTGAGCTGGGGCCAAGTCCAAAAACAGCCCAGCAAAGAACCCAGGCCCAGGCTGTTCCTTCACCCCGTTCACAGCCATCAGGGGAGGTACAAGTGTGGCACCTCGGGGCTTCCGAAGAGTACGGGGGTCATCTGCTAAAAACTCGCCTGACCTCCCCTACCACCAGCTAGACACCACCCAAGTCCTCAAAAGCAGCAGCTGTGTTAGGATCTCCCCACTCACTGGGCTCAATATCAGATGGGTTCATGTCAGGCGGGACCTTGGGATCCACAGGGCACAGGACAAATGATCATGACAGTGTCATCTTACATGTGGTCTACACTTTAGTCTTGGCACGTGGCTGGGGAAGGACAACTGGGCTTTCAATGGCTCTGGTGAAGGCTGCTGAGAAGGCGCAGGGCTGCAGCCTGCTGGCTGAGTGTCTGCTGTGGTTTGTGGGGGGAAGAGGGGACGGGGCTTGGGGAGGGGTCTTAGGAACAGACTCCGGCATGACAGTGGTGAGGGGTGGGGTGTTCCCAAGGGCATAGTTTGACTTCTGGTCATCCCTATTTCTTGCAGCCTGGGGAGAGGAGAGTCAGGCGCAGGAGGCCCTAACCAGGACTCACAGGCTGATTTCAGAGCCCTGAAGTGGTTTCCTGCCGAGGGTGGGGGCGTGGGAGAGAGTGAGTCGCCATGGCAGTCTGTTCCAGCCCAGGGCAGAAAGACAGCTGAGAGGTGGAGGAGCAGAGGGCAGGTTCCTGTGACTCTGCAGAGAAGTGACGATGACGTCCTCTCATGCCCCATGTCCTTGTATCTAGATGACATCAGGGAGTGGGCAGGAGCTGGGCTCATGGGTGCCTCTTGGCTACCTGAGAAATACTGCAACCTTTGACCCCCGGTGGTAGTGGGAGCCCTGCTACCACCCCAGACCTCTTTCTTGCTTTTTGCTGAGAACAAATCCAGCCCAGAGTGTAGCAGGTCTTAGTCAATTCCAACCTTCTCCTTTCTTCCATGTTAGGCCCCCTTCCGAATCCTGCCAGAGCTTGGCTACACTTATTTTCTCTATTTACTTTGTCACAGAGGTTCTTAGTCTGTTTAAAAGAGCAGAAACTCTAAACCTAAACCCTTGAGATGGATTCAAAAAGAGACTGAAAGTTCATCCCTTAGTTGTGGGCTGAAATTTGAGGTACATTAAACTTTCAGCTGTCTTCATTTGGGCCTGGGTACTCTTTTTGCTTCCTTTTTTGCTTTCTAAGAAACTCAGGCTGGGCACGGTGGCTCACACCTATAATCCCAGCACTTTGGGAAGCTGAGGTGAGTGGATAGATCACTTGAGCCCAGGAGTTCAAGACCAGCCGGGGCAACATAGCAAGACCTCATCTCTACTAAAAATAAATAAATAAATATTTTTTAAAAATCAGACGAGTGTGGTGGCACGCGCCTGTAGTCCCAACTACTCAGCTCAGGAGGTGAGGTGGGAGGATCACCTGAGCCCAGGAGGTTGAGGCTACAGTGAGCCACAATGAAGCCTGCACTCCAGCATAGGCAACAGAGCAAGACTCTGGAAAGAAAAGAAAGAAAAGAAAAGAAAAGAGAAGAAAAGAGAAGAAAAGGAGGGGAGGGGAGGGGAAGGGAAGGGAAGGAGAGAGAGAGAAGGGAAGAAGAAGAAGGAGAAGGAGAAGAGGAGGAGGAAGAGGAGGAAGAGGAAGAGGAGGAAGAAGAGGAGGAGGAGGAGGAAGAGGAGGAAGAGGAAGAGGAGGAAGAAGAGGATGAAGAGAAGGAGGAGGAGGAAGAGGAAGAGGAGGAGGAGGAGGAGGAGGAGAAAAGAGAAGAAGGAAGGAAAGTGAGGAAAGAGAAAGGAAAGGAAGAAAAAGAAATTTCAGGGTAGGTTATCTGGTAAGAGCCTCCTTATTAAAAACACATTAAGCAACTGGAAGTAAATCTTCACATGTATTTGGAATTCAAGAAAGTTCCACTGAATAATTAGACACATGTATTCAAAATAAATATGCCCATGCCTGCTTCCTCCAGGTTCCTAAGTTCTTTTGCCACTTGGGATGACATCCACAGTCTTGCTTCCCACTTCGTCTGGGTGAGTGGGTCTCTGTATAAACCCTGGCTGGGACCCTGGCCCGGAAGTGCGGTGACCACGGGAAGGCTACAGACAAGCAAGGCAGTGGCCTGAAGGCGTGCTGGGGTTTCCTGAGGTCGGCAGATTCCTTTGGACAAATGAGGCCAGCACACCTGGGATGACAGACACCTACCTGCCTCCCAGCACAAGCTGTGCTGGAACCACAGCCAGTGTGTTAATGGCTCTTTGCTCAGTAACGACCCAATGGCAGTCATTGTCAACCTGTCATCTTGAAGACAGCCCGGTGTGCGGCAGACAAAGTGGGTCACCATTAGAGTAATGGAAATCAAGCCGAAAGCCTAATGTCCCCCGTTGCCTTCGAGCCAGCCCATCCTCCTTAGAAGCCCTGTCCACCGCCAGGGAAACCCGCCCTGAAGCTGAGAATTCAAGCAAGGGTCAAGGGTCACCTGGGCCATGCCCACTGCATGGGAGCTCAACCGTGCATTGCCTGGCAGTGGAGCTGCAGCGGCGAAATCAGCAGCAGGGTCCCTGTGCTCACGGAGTTAGACCCTCACAGAGACCCAATACAGTTGGCCGTCTAGATCTGTGGGTTCCCTGGCTGCGGGTTCAACCCACTGTGGACTGGGTCCTTGCAGGTAGGCCCAGGACGGGTTTGTCTGTACTGAACACTGCAGACTTTTTTCCTCGTCATTATTTCCTAAACAATACAGTATAGCAACCATTTATGTAGCATTTACATTATACTCAGTATTATAAGTAATCTAGAGATGATTTAAAGCATATGGGAGGGCCAGGCGCGGTGGCTCATGCCTATAATCACACTTTGGGAGGCCGAGGCGGGCAGATCACTTGAGGTCAGGAGTTCGAGACCAGCCTGGCCAACATGCCAAAACCCTGTCTCTACTACCTATACAAAAACGTAGCCAGACGTGGTGGCAGACGCCTGTAATCCCAGCTACTCAGGACGCTGAGGCAGGAGAATCACTTGTAAACCTGAACCCGGGAGGCAGAGGTTGCAGTGAGCCAAGATGGTACCACTGCACTCCAGCGTCTGGGTGACAGAGTGAGACTCCATCCCAAAAATAAAATAAAATAAAAAATAAAGCATATGGGAAGATGTGTGTAGGTTATATGCAAATACGATGCCATTTTATATAAAGGACTTGAGCATCCACAGATTTTGGTATTTGCATGGCCAGGGGTTTCCTGGAACCAACCCTCGTGGACATGGGGGGCCGACTATATGCAACAAATGGTTATCGTACAAATAACCACCCGTTGTCGTGGGAAGGAGATGCATGGATTAAGGGAGCTGAACCTGACAGGTGAGCAGGACTGACCAGGTACAGAATGAGGCCCAGCACCCTCCAGGTGGAGGGGGTTACACAGGTGCGCCCCCTTTTTGGTCCTTTTCCAAAACTTCCTTCTTCCTGCTGCCTGGAGTATGGACATGAAGGCTGGAGGTGGGCAACCAATTTGGACCATGAGGTGATGGCTTCAGGTGACACAGCAAGGCCGAGGGAGCCTGGGTCCCAGTGACCCTGAACCTGGTCCCTGGGCTACACAATTCCAAGTTTGTTTCACAACAGAGGGGAAGAAGCATCTCTCTTATTTAAGCCAATGGCCTGTAGGGGTTTTCCATCACGTGCGGTTGGAATTGTTCCAGTCAGTTTCACGCTAGTCAACAAATGTTCGATGAATGAATGAACAAATAAAAACACGTGAGAGGGTACGCCACCTCCACCACTGCTGAGGAGCTCATGCTGCAAGAAGGGCTCATAAAAGGGAGGGATTTGCACGATAACGTGACGAACGATAAACCACCTACCAGTCCTGTGACGACCTCATTACTACTCAAGAAATAAGGAAATGGCTCGATGACCTAAAATTGGCTTTTCTTTGACCCTGCGAATGTCTGTGTCCTCGACTCCCCCATTCCCTGATTTCCACGCCACCCAGCCCCACTCCAATAACACAGCAGTCATGAAAAAAGACCCGAGAGTCACTCTCCTAAAAAAAATTAGTAGCTGGCAAAGGATGTGGCTAAAGTGAAAGTTCTATCAATGGATAGAATGACGCCATTCTATGAATGAGTTTTTACTATATGTATTCAGTTATTCGATAGAACCTTGTTAAATGGGTTCATCACACAGATGAAGATTTCTTCCATTCATAGAAACAATTGGGTGCTTTTACTAAGGGGTTAAGGTAGTAAAAACTGGAGTTTCAAGTGCAAGCTGAGAAGGGAGAAAAGGAGGAAGAGCAAGTTTTGGAGGTTTGAGGACACTGAGTAACAGAATTCCACCTTTAAAGCAGCCTTCCGGAAGATTCCTCCTGCATGCATCTTGCTGTCCAGAGTCCTGCCGGCCACAATGGAGGCTTGGAAACAGGGTCCTTTATTCTGGATGGTGTTGAGCTCAATGGGGTTCTGGAGCTAAAGGAGGAGGGGGACATGGGATGTTGGTGTAGGCCGGTACAGGTTCTGCCGCAGGCAGGGTCCTACGTCTGTGTGTTTTCATGGTTGTAAATTTTGGTAAAATGTGAAAGTAAGCCATAACCACAGCCAGTTAAGACCTGTCTCTCGGCACATCACTTCCTCAGTTTCCCCTCATACCGCGTCGTGTTGGAAAGGCCGCAGGCACTTCCTGGCTCTTTAAGGGGAGGTTAGATTGGGGATGCATTTAGTTCTGGATCTTGGGGGCTGTATTTATAGCCACCTATATATACATAGGATGTATTGATCTCACTTGCACAGACGGTTGAAGTGCTGCTTCCTGTCTGCTGTGGGAATAGTCCTAGGAGTGCCCCACTGCCCACGCACCCACTCCCCAGCACTGGAACGTGTGCTGTGTGGCACGCGGCCTGCAGCGCTGGTGGCACAGTCCCTCGTGGAAAGCTGTCGTCTCCCAGGGAGATGGGCTTGAAACAAGCCTGGGGTCACTCGGAGAACTCGGAGAGCCGCACCTTTGAAAGGTGTTCAGTTAGCTTTCTGTTAGTGGACACCCTCCACCAGCGTCTTGGGAGCCACGGCGGCCTCTCGGGAAGCCCCCGCAACCTCCCACCCCAGACGCAGTTCCACGCAAGTCAACACTCCCCTCCAATTCCAGGGCGAGTGGAGGGGACGTTGCTTTTGATGTCTTGCTTTGCTCAGCTCACAAGTCCTGGGCTCTTTTGCTGGATCCATCCTTGTCTGCAGTGTGGCACTCTCGCCTCCCTAAACCCACCACCTGCATCTTCTTTCTCCAACAGACCACCCCCGGCCCACTCCTTCACTGCCCTGGGCTCTGTGCCAGGGAAGCCTCTCCTTCCCAGCCCCCAGCCCCGCCCCCCACCGTGCCACCTCCCCTCCCGCTCCTTGGTGAACTCATCCCACGGGAGGCGGGCTTCCTCAGGGAGCTCCTTGCTGGTCAGAGGCAGGGTCACAGCCAGGAGTATGTGAATCCACCTGTGCCCTGGGTGACTCATCCAGCTGGGGGTTTTCTGGGCAGCTCAGACTGGAGGAAGAGGGGCTGCTAATGGCCTCGCCAGAGGCTGACACCTGCAGTTGGGAGGGGTGCGGACGGGAAGTTGGTGACTCAGCAGCAGGCCCTGGACAGCTGCCCCTGTTTCCTGGCCCTGAGTCAGGCTCATCAGCAGCACCCAGGGCCATATGGGAACCCGCCTGGCTACCAGGATGTGGGTGTGCAGGAGGACAGGTGGCTGGGGGGCCACAGGGAGGGCCAGTGGGAAGTGAGAGAGGCGCTTCCACCTGGGGGCCTGAGCTGTGCAGGAAATGCTCTGACCTGCTTCTCAGAGACCCAGAATACTTTTTTTTTTTTTTTTGAGAAACAGTCTCCCTCTATTGCCCAGATTGGAGTGCAGTGGCACAACCTCTTCTCACTGCAACCTCCGCCTCCCGGGTTCAAGCAATTCTCCTGCCTCAGCCTCCCAAGTAGCTGGGATTACAGGCGCCCGCCACCACGCCCGGCTAATTTTTGTGTTTTCAGTAGAGACGGAGTTTCACCGTGTTGGCCAGGCTGGTCTTGAACTCCTGACCTCAGGTGATCCACCCACCTCAGCCTTCCAAAGTGCTAGGATTACAGGCATGAGCCACTGTGCCCAACCCCAAAATACTTTAAAGAACTAAAAAGTGATGACTATTTAAAAACCTCTTGGTGAAGTCCAATCCAGCCCCCATGCCAGGTGTGACTGGCCAGCTCTCCAGGTGCGCCCCTCACATCCCTGTCACTGCTTACCCCTCCCTCCGAGGGCGTCCACCGTCAGACTTCTCGCAGCAGCAACTCACCGGGCCTGCTTCTAAACGTTCAGTGATGGGCTTGCAGTGTTTCTGGTTACTGTCTGCTTCCTCTCTCCCCGTTTTTGTCTGGGGTCGTCCTCTCTGTTGCTTCCTGTCGCTGTAAATCCAGAACCAGGCGCATTTCGGCGGCTGACCCCACGGATGGAGTCGGCCGCCATTCTGAGCTGCTGCTCCCTATCTCTCAGAGGGTGACAGCATCGCCCCATTTGTCTCCAACTCATCGGGTTTGGTGGACAGTGGTTGAATCCCATCAGTTAGGAGGCACCAGATGCACAGGTCGCTGTGGCTCGGCGTCACTGGGAGGGAAGAGGTGTTGGGAAGAGCTAAGGCTCTTCCAGATCAGTCCACTCGCTGTGCGGTACCGACCATGTCCTCCTGGAAGGAGGGGCCCCCTGAGGAGGGTCACCTGCCAGGCTCCCTGGCGCTGACCAGTAGCCCCACCCCCAGGAAGCTCACCAGCTGGTGGTGATTTTGGACGTGGGCTGACTGGAGACATTTCTTCCCCACACCATCCCCCAGCCCAGGTGAGTCAGGTTGGATGGAATCAGCCTTTGCTCATCCTCAGACCCAGCAGAGGAAATCACGCAGAGGCCTGAGATGCCCGGGCTCAACCCTGGCCTCAGCACTCACAGCTGTGCGGCCTTGAGCCTGCGCTAAGCACCACTGCCGCGCCTTGAACTACCCCACAGGGTCTCTGTAGAAACTAAATGAGGCAGGGACAGCTCAGCCAGCACAGGGCTTTAAAGGGGCCACCCTCTGCACTCCATCCTGGGCAACAGAGCAAGACTCTGTCTCAAACAAACAAACAAACAAAAAACTTCAGCAAATGTGTATTCTTCCAACTGTGTCTGAGTTTTCACTGCAGTTATACATGCAATTAAAAAAAAAAAAGCTAAATGAAATTTTGCTGTGCTTATTTTCCTACAACTTGCCCCTGATTTTATACATCTCAGGTGTCTTTCCAGGTGAGGACTGCTGTTTTCTTTCCACGAGCCAGGTATTACTTCACTCTGTGGATGATACTCCCAATTTACCTCCCTCCAGCCAGGGTCATTCACGTGGTTCCCGGTGTCCTGGGATATAACAGATGTCCTCAGGCAGAAGCCTTGCGGAATCAGGTGCTGGCATTTTAGCCTGGGACCAGAGGACACAAGGTGTGCACACTTCAACCTTTGTTAGAAACTACCAAATTTGGCGGGGTGTGGTGGGTCACACTTGTAATCCCAGCACTTTGGGAGGCCGAGTTGGGCGAATCACCTGAGGTCAAGAGTTCGAGACCAGCCTGGCCAACATAGCGAAAACTCATCTCTACTAAAAATACAAAAATTAGCCGGGCGTGGTGGCGGGCACCTGTAATCCCAGCTACTCAGGGGGCTGAGGCAGGAGAATGGCGTGAACCCGGGAGGCGAAAGTTGCAGTGAGCTAAGGTCGCACCACTGCACTCCAGCCTGGGTGACATAGCAAGACTCTGTCTCAAAAAAAAAAAAAAAGAAAAGAAAAAAAACTACCAAATTACCTTCTGGAAAGCCTGCACCCATTTACAGCCTCTTGGAGTCTAAGTGCTTCTTTCCCCAAACCCCCAGCTGGATGCTAGCAAACTTTTAACATTTTCACCAGTCTGATGAGCGAGACTGTTGTCGTCAGCCTGGGCCACCATAGCAAAGTACCACAGACCAGGCAGCTTGAACAATAGAAATGCACCATCTCACAGTTCTGGAGGCTGGACGTCCAAGATCAAGGTGTCAGCAGGGTGGGTTGCTTCTGAGGGCCATCAGGGGAAATCTGCTCTATTTGCCTGTTCTGGACATTTCGTATAAATGCAATCCTGAAATCTATGGCCTTTTAGGTCTGGCTTCTTTCACTCAGCATGTTTTGAGGTTCACCCATGTTGTAGCCTGAATATTTCATTCCTTGTCATGGCTGAGTAATATTCTGTTATATGGATAGACCACTTTGTTTTTTGTTTTTTGTTTTGAAATGGAGTTTCACTCTTCTTGCCCAGGCTGCAGTGCAACGGCACAATCTCAGCTCACTGCAATATCCACCTCCCAAGTTCAAGTGATTCTCCTGCCTCAGCCTCCCGAGTAGCTGGGATTACAGGCACCCGCCACCACGCCCGGCTAATTTTTGTGTTTTTAGTAGAGATGGGGTTTCTCCATGTTGGTCAGGCTGGTCTCAAACACCCGACCTCTGGTGATCTGCCCACTTCGGCCTCCTAAAATGCTAGGATTACAGGCATGAGCCACCGCGCTCGGCCGGATAGACCACTTTTTCTCCATGCATCAGCTGATCAACACTTGAGTTGCTTCTCCCTTTGGCATTTATGAAGACTGCTGCTATGAACATTTGTGTTCAAGGATCTGTTTGGACATCTGTTCTCAATTGCTATACCTAGGAAGTCAGTTGCTGGGTGATACAGTAGTTCTATGTTTAAGGAACATTATTTAAATGTTTGATAATTTGTTCATCATAGATATTTCACATTAATTTGGACTTACAAATATTGCACTGAAATATTATTTATCCTGATCACTGAGTTTTTTTGGCACCCTGCACGTTTTGTACCCAAGGCAAGAGCCTCACTCACTCAACCCAATCGAACTCCCCAGCGCCCGTCTGCAAGGGAAGAGAGGACAAAGCTGTTTCTAGGAGGCAAAGACACCTGGGTGATTCTGCACTTGCTGTTTCCTCTGTCTAGAACATTCGTCTCTCTAGAACATCCTTCCTGTTTAGGGTGACCAGCCATCCCCGTTCCCCCAGCCAGAAACCCCTGAGGAGTTTCCTAGGACACAGAATTTTCCAGGTGAAAATCAAAAAGTCCCAGGCAAAGCGGGACAGTGGGTCACTAATTCCCATCAAATCTGTACCGGCTGCTCTCTCGCCTTCTTTGAAAATCTGGTGGCCAGGCAC